TGACCGCGACAGGAGAATTTGTTTTTTTTTTAATTTTTTTTAAACAAGTTTAAAAAGTTTTCTGTTTATGTTTCTAATGCCTAGTATAAATGCGTGTATATTCAAACCGTTCTGTGGTTTTTTCTTTTGCAAGTTAATCCTTATTAAATAAAATCATTTATAAGTTACTAAGTGACTTAAAAGGTGTTTTCATTTCATCATCATCATCATCATCAGCACTTTACATTTGCAGTTCTGAACGCATATTTTGTTTCATATTTGTCATCCTAGCGTTGATTGTATAATCAGCGATTAAATCGATCGCAACAAACAAATCGATATGGCACTTACTCGTGCGCGCGGTGTCGTGTTGCGCTTGCGCATTAGACCGGTAACGTACTTGTACAATGCGTTCTATATGTCGCTGGTTAATATACAGCGTGAACGATTCAATATTCACACCTAGTCCACATCTGCATACATCATTATACCGTATGACATTCTGCGTGGCTAATGGTGGATCTATAATACATTAGGACCTATTTTGTATGTCTGATAACATCGCGTATAGCAACGCTTTGTTATCCATAGGGCTGTGCAAATTGCAGCTTAGGGCTCCGGTGTCGCTGTCCCTTTCCGATCTGAAGAGTAGGAAAGGGTGAAAAAAACCAAACTTTTCAGCACTGGGTTATGTACGTCTAATTTTTGGGTATTACAGACTTGTGTTTAAAAGTGCAGACTTTATTTTTTTAATAATAGAGAAGGACAGACTAGCATGGAGTCTGAAGAGACTTGATGGTAGGTGAAATACTCCAGGAATATTATATCTAAAGAAAATTCGCTGCCGACCTGTTTTGGCTATGAATGTTCAGAAATCCTCAGACTGAAATCGTAACGCGATTGACTGTATTTCGTGACCCGGATGGTATGTCGATATTCGACGAGCCTGTGAAAAACACAGACGCCATAGAGAAGCTTTGATGACCTTTTCTTTAGACTTTATAGAACTACCTACATAAGCAAAACATATGAACATAAAAGTCAATCTTCATACATTCGCTTAGTTAAACATCGTACATAAAATTATAGTTAATTTCGTCTGATCATCAGTCATCACGCGAAAAAAATTGGCTCTCTATCTTCAACGCGTAGCTCTAAAAGCATGTTATTTATAAACATTCAAAGTATATTTTCGAGTAAGAAAATTTTGATGAAAAAACAGCGCTGGATACTGACCAAATGCTCGCCTTGTAATCGAGCAATCTCGATGTAATAATATTTGACGAGCTTTTCAACCACGACCACTGGTTTCAACATTTTTCTTATCAATTTATAATTCTTCTCAAACATGTTGAAAAGCTGGTTATTAAATTGGTGGTAGAAACGTTGACATTCCGTTCTGTCTGTAGAGAACTCCAAAGCCAAAAAAGATAGACAACGTACCTTGTTTAATTATATGGCTGTGGTGTTTCACCTACCATCAATTCCATGCTTGTCTGTTTTTCTCCATCATAAAAAAAATTCGGCGTAACATGGTCGTAGCGAGCATATTGCTCGATATTCGCTGTCTATATATTTCACTGTTACGCTTGTGAAACTCAAAGCGACCGAGCGTTTCTGATCGAATTTTCTCTAACAATACTGACTGCACAAATGCCCAACGTGTTACATGTTACATTACACCGCATTTGGTCAGTACCCGGCTTAAAATTAAAAGATGAAATAACAAAGTAATTGTTTTATAGTCGTGTCCTTTTTAATCGTCTATTTATATTATAAATGTGTGTTATTTATAACAGTAATTATAACAGAATGAACGCAATGTGAAACGGTTGTGTGAAAAAATCTTAATTAATTACGGTCAATAAACCCTGTTATTAGTTCATTGTGTAGAATATTTGGCACCTAGAGTGCGTAATGCTTTAGTCATGGGAATTTTGTACTAGCCAAGTTAATGTATTTATTTAGCAAAAGGAAACTAACACATACATTACACAAATAGCTAAGGAATAACAGTGAAGAATAAAGTTTAAATGCAAGAAAAGACTACACATCGATAAAAATTACAGAAAATAAAACAGATTTAATATAAAAGCTAACAAAACAATAAAATTAACAATAAATTTATGAATACAGTTGCGTAAATAAGGGGGCAGCCAGGCCCCCAAAGCCCCTAAAATTAGACACAAATTTTGTTAACATAAAATCAAATAACTACTTTATTAATAAATATAACTTTTCATTTGCATGCTTAATTTAAACCCACCAAGCATAACTGGACCAGTGTGGTGGGTCTAAGAGTGTCACTTTGAGAGACGAGACCTAAACCCAGCTACATCTGACTGAACATTATTAATTAAACTTCAATCAAGTACTGTCTGTAGTTAACGGAAGTACCTAGTACACATTTAAATAAAACACTGCTAACGGTTTAAAACGTGATATATATTAATTACCTTATTATTGTGCACAGTTGCTGCAAAGCCCCGAAGCATCGGACCTAAGTTATAAGAAGTTAAAAATTAACTAATATATTTCGTGTTTTAATCCGTTTAAAGTTAACCATATAATTTAAGTAAAGTATCCTTAGCCTAATGACTAGGTATCAATGTGAAACACTACATACAACCACAATTTAGTCTCAAGTTGTAACTTACATAAATATTATGTAAGAGATAAGTTATCTCAAGTAGATACTATGAATCGTCTTATTTGCTTTAAGAAGTGGAGGATTACCAGATAAAAGCTTGCAGCTCGGGCTTGTAGACTGTTTTGGGAGCGAGTCTTACAGATATTTTAATTTATGAAAAGACTAGCTGTTACCCACGACGTTGTCCGCGTCTTGTCGTTGTTGCGAGTTGATCTTAAAAGATTTACATATATAGTCGCATTTGTTTACATAATTCAAACAAAACTTATTCTTCCATTTTCTTTTTTTTTCACATTTCCCTCTGGTTCTTCACTCCTAGTCGCTTAATGTTTTATAGCCTAAACCTTCATCGATAATGGCAAATCAACCAAAAAAAATCAATTCGATCCAGTAGTTCCTGAGATGAGCGCGTTCAAACAAATTTTTCAGCTTTATAATATTAGTATATCATATGTAAGAATTATATAGCGTTACCGTTTGTGGAACTTGGCGCGTACACATTTCTGTGTCCGCTTCACATCGACTGATTTATGAGCAAGTTGAACAGACTTCTGCGCCTTACCCGACCGAAAATTTTCCATTTTATCAACTACTCATGAAGCAGTCAACCAAATCAGGTCCTCATTCCTTAACGTTGGTTCGCATTGATATGCATACCTTGAGTTCTTCCACTATGGTATCTGACATCGTTGCATTGCGTTGCGTGCTCATACCGATAAGGTATGTCCTGGGACAATTTAATAATCAGATAGGATCGGCGCGTGTTATCACTTTACTTGTTAGATTAGATTAAACATCGACTTTTCCAGATAAACTATTTTTGTGCGCATTCATTGAGTATTTTCCGTAATGTTTTGAATGTAAGGCCAATCAACGGGTCGCGGGTTCGATATCCATCGAAAACTTGGTCGAAAATGTTTCTAGTTAAATACTGTCTGTAGTTTACGCGAGTAGTACACATTTAATTAAAACACTAACGGTTTAAAACGCGATATATACCGCTGCAATGCATCCGAAACGTCATACCGTAGTTAAAATAATTTTGAAACAAGCTTAACTAATATACATCGCGTTTTAAACCGTTAAAGTGTTTTACTTAAATGTTTCTAATTAATTCATTTTTTTTTATCAGGACTTCGTCTGGAAATCTAAGTATTAAATTGGTGGTAGGAATATCGAAATTCCGCCCACGTCACGAATTCACCGTCCACAGAAAAGCCTTCAAGTTTAGTCGCGTTTCGGTTTCAGGCCGTGGATTCCGGAATATCCACAGGCAGCGCTTCTTGCTTAGATTTTATATGGCTGTTAATTCACCTACCATTAAGTAAACCCCGTGCTTTTACTATTAAATTAAGTAATTGAAATTTGAAAATTTAGTACGCAGATGTGTACGTAGGGATCATAACTTTAGTTCTCTGCATTAAATTATACCATTAGTATATCCTCCTTAACACTAAGAGGAATCATTCGTCCATCCATACTAGTGTTTACATAAATTATTCACTGTCAATATGTTATTTTATTTCTTCTAAGGGTTTCTGAGCGCTTGGCCCGCGGCCAAGGGACTTGAACGATACTTGACAGCCCACTTGACCTAAAATATGCCACAATGCTGTGGCGAATCGTGTTAAATATAACTTTTGGTTCAATCTTAGCGTAAGGCTAAGAATGGGATCGCATTGTTGACAATGTGAAGTTGTCACTTTGACGGTAGTTTTGTTACGGTTTAAATGTCCTGGGGGGTTATTCTCAAACATATCGATTGCAAATCGTGTTTTGTCACTCGTAGAGTGCAATTCTCAAATAGTGATAATACTTGCGTTGACTTTGTTGTATTCAATGAATGTGCAAATGTGCAACAAATGAAAAGGCATGGAAATTAAAAAGGGATTTTAGATGGAAATAATTTTAGGACACAGGCGGGACTTGAACCGGCGTCCACAACGTTCCTTGCTGCTTTAACCAATTGAGCTACCGCGTCCTATCCTACGTCATACATATTAACAACGATTAATAATTTTCTTCATTTTTTCCATATTTCCCGCCGTTCGCTTCTATAAGTCGCAGTCTTATAGCCTTCATCGATAAATGCTCTAACCACACAAGGAAAATTTTAATTCCTTCCAGTAGTTCCTGAGATTCGCGTTCAAACAAACTCTTGAGTCTCATATATTAGTCTAGATTGCTATATAAGCTAATATCCAGCTCTCTCTTTCCAGATTCCATCGGGAAAAGCTGAACAGTTCGCACTGACAGACCGAAAGACAATAGTGACATTAGTGTATCGTAAGCAATGAGCATTTAATCGGCCATGGATGACAGATAGTGTCGGTCTGGGGATAATGGGAGCTTGGGTGTCGGGATCTTGAAAATGCCGCATGCGCATTCGAGTTCGGCTGCGTCCTCGGGCGGCGACGACCTGGGCTCCACGGATGAGGTCAAAGTGTTCAAGGACGAGGGGGACGGAGAGGACGAGAAGAGGAGCTCGGAGAACCTGTTGGAGGAGAAGTCTAGTCTGATTGATTGGACTGAGAGCGAGGTGAGTTCTGTTTTGTACACCAGCTCGTGGTTCGCCACCAGGAAGTCAAACTTAACAAGAGGTAATCGAACCATTTAGGCACTGATAGTGCCCGCGACTTCAAATATCTACTTATCTTGAGGGTCATATTATTTATTTAAGCTTTATAAATTGTAACCGTTACCCACGTCGCGCGTCGTCTACGTCCTTTTCGAGTTAATCTTAATAGATAGACATATACTGTCGTCAACTATATAATACTACTATAATACTGTCAAAAAAAGGCTTCGTTACTCTTCATTTCCCTTCTTGCCGTCTTTTGGATGTAGCTGGATGCTTCCTCAATATTGGTCCAACAACACAAAAATATTTTCTTTATTCGAACCAGTAGTTAGTGAGATGAGCGCGTCCACAAGCTCTTCAGCTTTATAATAATATAGATATAAACAAACATACATACATAGAGATACTTACATCTTTAAGTAAACTTTTGTACAACCATCCAAAACATTTTTAAGGATATTCTATTTATATATTTCAGTTTTACAAAAGGTATATTTAATTTGTAAGGTGTAAAATCAATCAACATGACAAAGCCTTTATAAAACTTACGGTCAATTTTACCAGGACATCTCGGAGTTACAGTTAACCTGTTGCTGATAAAAACTATTACGTTGGTGGTCCAGCTCTGAATGTGGGGCCACTAAATGTCTCTTTTAATTATGAATCAGTTCACAGACCTATACTTAAATGCGTCACGCGGCGCTAAGTTACCTCGGGACTGATTCGTACAAAAACATCCGTTATCGTTACTCACACAAATGTCAGAATTGCGTGATTTTTTTTGTTGTAGTATTCTCTGGTGGTTTGTAAGATAGGCCCACAGCAGGTGTCAAAATCAGGTAGGCTAGCTACAAAGGCACAATGTGCATTGATGTACACATATTTGTTGATACACTTGTGAAAATCCCTTATTGTACCGTGAATTCTATTGTCGTCTAATTTTAGTTCCTGTGCAACCGTCTTTTTGAATTTTAATACCCACGTCAAAGTTGAAGAAAGGCAACTATTTTGTTTATTACATTTGAAATCAAATCATTTTTCCACATACAATAATACAATAAAATATATACGTATGTGGATGGACGTGGAAGTACTTTTAGTTTCCTAAAATAATTTAGAGTAATGTTGGCTTAAAACGTGGAATGTGTTAGTAGCACGTACCACCTTTAAGAGACGGTACAAAGAATATTTGCTATCGTTACAAAAAACCGACGTTGATGGCGCTGTCAGTGGAAACCTATAATATTGAACCCTGAACTATATTATGTAGATGGAATGGAACAATTATTTTTTCTATTTATGCAGCTTGTCTTACTTTTTTTTGTAAATTTTACTGTGTTTTTATTTGTACATCAGCAACTTTTTTTTTGTTTATTTTAACTTGAGTGTGGCACCGCTGTCCACACTCTAAGGACTTACTGAAAATCAGTTTCAGGTCAACAAAAGGCCTGATATAAACTGAGGAAGATCCTATTCTACTAGCAGCACACAACATTATCCTATCTTGTTATATTAAGTTTTTAGCACACAACATTATCCTATCATATATATAACAAGATTTTGTTAAGACAAAATTATGATCTGTTTTTTTTATGTTTAGTAATAAGTGTAACATGTGTTTTTATGTGCCCTAGTAGTAAATAAATTTTTCTTTCTTTCTTTCTTCTAAAGGTAGAAAATACTTCTTTCGCGTATTCAACCGTTAAAAGCGTTTTATTTGTGTACTACTCGTGTAAACTACAGACGATAGTTAAACAGGATGGCTTGAATTACTTCCTTTTTGATTTTACTAGAATTTTGTCAAGAATTATTCAAGTGTGTAAACATACAAAAAGAGATCGTGTTAAATATTTTGCATGACTTCAGATGTATGTTATACGAATAGCCTTTAAAATATACATGTATTTAAGTAACTAGGTTTAACGAAACTATTAGGTGCTTAAGTATGCATTTTTTTCTTTCTAAGTAAACTAAGCTAGTGTTAAGTGACTTTAGCTTAGTTTAATAAGCGGTTGTAAGCACACATAATAGACTTAATCGAAGCAACTTAACACAAACCGCCCACACTACGAGTAATCACTTATTTTGTATTTTTACAAACATACTTCGTACAACATAGATTGATAAGTTTAACAGTTCATGTCTATAGAGAATAAATATTTTATTGGTTAAAATATATCCCACAATTTTATGATGGTTTAACTCATAATCCACTTTGAACATACGCATAGTAATTTTATTTAGTAAATTGCGACAAAAAAAATTACAAGGAGACCTTAGAATAAAAAAAATAATAATAATTTATTTATCTTCTTAATGGATTCTCGTATTAATTTTTTGTTTATAGGGCAATAAATAAAAAGGTTTTCCATTTACAGACCAGCCAGTCACTATAGTTATACTTATCATCCTAAATAAGACGTCGTTTACCCATGCTTATAACTTTAACGGAAGATTTTACGCCTAGAATGTTTGTTAAAACTCTATTACTACATTTAAATATTCATAACTCCGGTTATTGTACTCGTTACGTCCAAGATAAACATCATCCTGATGTATGGCTAATTTTCAACGGGTCGTGGGTTCGTTCCCCACGGGGTCCTACATGCTTCTAATGAATTTATAATTTTATTAAACATGTTGGACTTCTAAATAAACCACTTCAACGGTTTAAAACGCGATATATTAGTTAAACTTATTTGAAAATGATTTTAACTTTGGCCCGACGTTTCGGATGCTTTGCAGCAGCCATCCTCTCAGCCGTCAGTCTCCCCGTGACCACGTGTTTTATTTCAAGTGTTTTATTTGAATGTGTACTACTCGCGTAAACTATAGACAGTATGTTGGACTTCATCTGGGTATAAAATGGATGGTAGGAATATCAAAATTTCGTCCGTGTCACGAACCACCGTCCACGAATGAAAAAGCCGTCAAGTGTCATTGCGTTGCGGTTTTAATCTGTGGATTTCCGAATATCCAATGCCAAAATAGGTCGTGAGCGTATCTTGTTTAGATGTTATATGGCTGGGGTGTTTCGCCTACCGTCAAGTGAATCTTTATCTGTCCAAATTATCTGTCCTTCCTATCAAAAGAATATGATCGTGTTACACGAGTCATTGTAATCACAAATTGCCCGTAAAACAAACAAATCAACCGCACGGACCGAAACGAAACACCCAAAACAACCGGGAAAAAAAACCCCTCTCAGGTACCAACGTTTCCGAAAATTGGACATAAATTACCGAGTCATTGTTGCTCGTTCTGAAAACTCTATCAATAGAAGAACACGGTCTACCTGGGCACAGGTAACTTCTATTGTCCACGAATTTACCTGTAGACGCAGCGCAAACATCGAACCGATCTATTCGTCTCGCGTGTTCCAGTACGTTAGAGGGAGACAGATTTATAGGAATCCAGACGCATACATCGTATAAATATTGGATTATATTTAGGTGCAGTTCAGCATTGTATGTCATAATAGCTTCGATTATAGTACGTGATGCCATTACAGTACCCTTTGTGCGTACAATCTTCTGAATTTCTTTGAGATTACCATTTCGTAAATTCGATTGTTTGGGTTTAACGCCAGCTTGAGTTTGGATGTTTTTATATTTGGCTGATGTTTGGAGACGTGAGAGCGTAATTTGTTATGCCACTTTAATGCAATTAAATAGCCGGTAGATCCATTCAAAAGATTTAAACATACAAAAAGTTTGAAAATGAAGTAACTTAATATAATGTAAATAGAGACAAAATACAATAATATTATCTCTGAAAAGACTACTCGGTCAGTTGGGATATTTCGTGACCCCATCACAGGCCAAACCAACTCTAGAAAGATAGTTCCTATTTTATTTATATCATACATGCATCTTTCAACCATTTACCCACATTTAAGATTGATATTATAAGTATATATTATATAATATTCTTGAAATAAAGTAAGTTACTCTGTCTATCGAATTCTACTGAATTCGGATTCTCATATCAGTCAGGATTTAGGTTTAAGCCCACCACGCTGTACGAATGTATCTTAGTGGACTTCAACCACCTCCATTAAATTAGTGATGAATGGACCTCACCATGATTTTCGAGGCATGGAGCTGCTGCCCTCCCTTACACTAAAAGACAGGGTCGTTGCCAACTGATAAAAACTATTGGATAATTTCTTAGAAATTACAAATACTAAACTTATGCTTCGTTGGAGTCAGATATCGAAGTCCGGACCTCGTGGCAGTTCACAAACTGTAATTTTAGTCTAATCTAAAAATGTACAAAGGAATAACATATATTTTAGTACTATTATAGCAATACGGTTGATTGACTCAAGGTTGATAGGTGAAATTTTCGTAAGAACATAATTTTACGTATCGAAAGGTCGATAATATCAGTTAATTGCCATGTATAATGTATTTGTTGATAAATTTATGTCAATATTGATAACCTACAAAGTGCACATTTTTATCAGATGTGGTTTTAATGTAATTTATTGTTTTAAAAGATTTTCAACATGCTTTAAGTAGCCATTCTTACGTTGTTACTCCTTTTGTAGATGCAAGTAACTTCTTATTTTTCCGTGAATATTCTGTTCTCAGTGAAGCTTGTAATAGTAGTCTCTGAGTTAACATGCATTTAGATTTATTTAAGATGTTTTTTCTAGATAATAAGCATATTACTCTTAACTTATCATAACAGATAGGACTGTTTAGTTTCCTAAGTAAATAAATAAAAAATCTCATGAAAAACAGTCTAGGTCTAAAATACTATCTGTAGTTTACGCCTGTAGTACAAACTTAAATAAAACACTTTTAAACGAGATATATATAACATAAAATTATTTTTACTATGGCCGGAGGTTACGGATGTTTCGTCTCCCCCGTGACCACGACGGCTGCAAAGCATCAGAAACGTCGGGCCATAAACATATAATAGACAGACATATAAGGTCATTTTAGTAA